CAATCAATCAATCAATCAATTATCCTCAGAGGTTCTTTATATCAGTTGTCTTCCCCCAAGGATCATATAAAACGGGCCTTACCTTCACTAGTTTAATTGAGCTCTTTTACAATCTGACTACCAAAATCAATGTAGGCTATGAAACAATTCACACAAAACCTCTATATCTTTCCACCGCATAATTATACACCTCATATCTCTCTTGCTGGCAGTCATACTTTTTAAAAATCAAATGTTATACTTCCAAGTAATTAAACGGATAGCAATGCTTTACAATGGATTATACAAGATTAACATCAAATTTCAACTCTGGACCCATAATCTTGCACAGGTTAATACCTTGCTCTTTAATCATTAAAGTAACACATTTACTTTGTGCTTCGTTTTATGGTGTAATCGTTCACCATGGAAAGGATTATGTGAAGAAAAACATGTTCATAACACATTTTCAGCTTCAGTAGATTTAAAGATCTGATCTTCACACATTTTTACATGAGTACATATCATATTAAAATATTTCAAGGCAGATAAAGATTGCCTTTTCTTTGGCTTAAAAATAATATTACATGAACAGATAAGTTGATTTATTGGGAAAATGTAAATGAATTGTGTAAATGAATTGCTGTACATTTCACCGCTGCTGGGAAAATAAAGGATTTCTGATTTGTTTCTGATTTCACATCACGTATCAGGCCATTAAGCAAAAGAAAATGCACACATTTTTGGTTTTGTTAAGTTTCATGGGATTGTTAATTAACTATTATTTGGTTTGGGTCTGTGAATGTGCCATGACGAACAATTTTGAAATAGTATACTGGTTAGGCTTAATGATTAACTTTAAATAAACTAAAAACTTCATAAAATACGAAAGAAAACTAATCAAATCAAATCAAGTTTTATTTATATAGCATATTTATAAACTATTTTTGGTCGAGCCAAAGTGCTGTACATATAATAAAAATAGCCTACAGTAGAGACACTTTACAGCAAATACAACAGCACAGATTGTTCAGAATATCAGTATGAGAAAAACGACACCCTCTGTCCTTAGACCCTCACATCGTACAAGGAAAAACTTCCAGAGAAAACCCACAGTTTAAAGGGGAACATGGGAGAAACCTCAGGGAGAGCAACAGAGGAGGGATCCCTCTCCCAGGACGGACAGACGTGCAATAGATGCCGTGTGTAAATCGAAGAGATAATACATTTTACAGCATATAGACCGAATGTTAGGAAATGCATGTGTCTGTAATAAGAAGATGAATCCACGAGGATGTCTATACTATATCAGATTCATTGATGATGGAGATTAATTATCAGTTGCTTCTCTGTGAAACTGCCTGGCATTAGTAATCCATGCATTTATAATGGGGTACTGAACAGTGTCACTACATTGTATGTATCATTAGATGTTAAATGACACCACACAGAATACCTTCTCTGGAGCAGAGCAGGGTGTGGAAATGAAGATGAGCATGTTCATTCTCTACGCTTCGCTTCATTCAGACATCAGAACAATCTCCCCTCAGCTCCTCACATTAGTTCACTTTCTCTCCGGCTCCTCTTTCTGTCTGCCTACACCTCTCATTAGTTCCTGTAACTCGGTGTGTGTTGATAGAAATTGGGGGGATAGAAAACATAGTTGCTGGGTGTGAGATTTGGGATCAAAGTCGACAGTAGTAGATTTGTTTCCCCCTAGCCATCCTTGATGCCTTATTATCCTGCTGCTGCCTTTACACAGAAAGATGAAGAGAGGAAGTTTAAAGTATAGGTGGATTAGTTTTCTGGCGGCAAGAGTATATAGTTAGCTGTTCCCCCGTTTGATATACTCACTCACTTTGAAATATGCATTTGCAGGAAATAACACACACAGCATGTTAAAACACAAGCAGTAAGGGTATACAGTAGTGTAAGCATGACTGAATTGACTCTAATGTCATTTGACTGACTTGTGTGTGTTGCAGGTTCCTGTCACTGTGGCCAATGTATCTGCCGTCCCCAAGACTGGTGGGTGTCTGGAGAGTACTGTGAGTGTGACGACCGAGAGTGTGACAAACATGACGGCCTCATCTGCACAGGTGACGTAGGACGGACACACGCACACAATCCAACACCTTAGCAGCATCTGTTAACAAGCAGCCACAGTTAAAAATCAACCTACCCAACATTTTCTTTTACATTTTATATTGAAGTATATTTAACCCTTTTGAAATAGCATACAGTATGTTAAGCTACGTTTAAGATAAGTAACTGATTTCTCAAAATATTTTTCTCTCACTGTGATATGGCAGAATTAGTTCGGATCTGTACACTTCCTACCATTTACATTTAGATGAATAGCTATGGTAGTGATTCAGAGAAAGAAAAGAACATGAATTAGGAAACACACAAGCATATAGTACACACACACACACAGTTTCTCTTCATATACTGTAGCCATGTATCCACAGGAGCTGTCTTCTCCCCACTGATAATGGAAATCTCAGTACATGTTTATAATTATTTTTTGCTCTGGGGCCTATAAAAATCCGGACAGCTGTTCCGAAGTGTTTGTCTAAATGTCAGCCTAATGTCATTCAAATAAGCATAAAGTGGTTCTGGATGCAGAGTAGAGTTGCTTAACAAATGTGGAGAACTAGGATGAAACAAAGAAAATGTGTGGCACTGCTGATAAATGTTCCTGATTACCATACAACTGACATGAGTACGTGTGCAAATTAGCATATGGATGAGCATTTTTATAATATGCAGGTAGCAGCTAGTTATGTAATCATTTTCCAATCTTATTTTAAAATGATTGTGCTAAATTTGACACAAATTCCTCCACATCTGGAGATTTCACGGACCCGTCAGAGCTGTAGATTCTCATTACACATACAAGTGATGTGGAAAATTCAGCGTATTAGGAATGCTTGCTAGTTAATTTCATGCAGTGGATATGATCATTTTAGAATGTATTTTATATACGAGATACAAGCGGTCGTTTGTCTGCAACACCATGAAACACGTGTGTATTCTAAGCTGGATATTTCTTATTTCTCCCTGCTATAGAGCTCCTTTGTTGTCAAAACTGAGCCACACTGCCTCATGGTTGACATGTTTCTTGATTTCCATTGATACACACACTAGTGTATTTATAGCATCACAAACAACGTCCTGGTGGATTAGATGGTTGAAGTATTTCAAAGTTATACCTATTTTAAATAATAGCTGCCTAAACAATTGGTGGGAGGAAAGAAATGCATTGGAAGTATAATGTAGCATACAATTGGGAAATAAAAGGAAAATACCTCGGAAATTGTACCTTAACACTTAGTACTTTGTGACATTCTAAAACTGGACATCAATTACCACATTTAATTTGTATTAATTGGCAGATGCACCAGATCCTGTTAGAGTAAGGGTTGTGAGGCTTGTGGTTGAATAAGAAGTTGGAAAAGTTTTGAAAGACAGACTAAGGTCTTTTCACAGGATTACCTGACAATGAGAATAATATATATAGAGCCAGGCAATCCTTATCCCTTAATGCAACAGAGTCAACAACAGCTCATCCAACTTTATTGTTCTTCTTCTCACCTAATACCCATCTCTGCTGCCTTCTGTTTCTCACCTAACATTTTTGTCCATCACCAATTCTCCCTCCTCACACCCCTCCCTTCTCTCCCACAGTGATGTTTGCAGTGTATACATATTTTCAGCTGTGAGACAGGAGGCCAGCAGGAGTCCTCCTCTGATTTCCTCTGTCTGACAGCTCAGGGAGTTTGTGGAGAGCCTGGGGAAACGGGATTATAAGACATTCAGAGTATGGTGTTATGCCATTCTTAAACATTGAATAGGATCACAATCTAACTCCCCTTTGGTTGTGAAGTTGCTGCCTCTAAAGCCACTTTAAGGTTGGGGAACGGTTATAATAATAATACAATTAATTTGTATAGCGCTTTTCCTGGTGCTCAAAGACGCTTTACATAAAAACAGAAACAGTACAAAGAAAACTAAAAAAACATAAACAGTAGTCCTAATCCAAGTGTGAGTAAAGTGGGGGGTTATGGGACTATTATGTTAAAGTCAGTTGTAGTATACTCCTTAATCCACCCCCAACTCCTTCTGATAGATCAATAACTCTTCCTTTGCTATGGATATACAATAGTCATTGGTTGCTGCATCCTTTTCTAGAGAGCTGTTTAAATGTATTGTATAACCTCCACAGATGAATAAAGGAAAGTCACATATTGGATTTGGAGATATATATTTATATATGTGGTGAATATTTACATATAAAGGCCTTTCCTTCTTAATTAAACCAGAGTTTCTCCTCTGCTGTGTGGGCAAAATAAGTGAAAAACGACTAACTGTCCTGAGCGGTGTAGTCCACCTCAGTCCCCCAGCAGAGCGCTGCACCCTGGGAAGCAGGGTGTGAAAAGAGGAACCTTGTTAAAAGGTCAGGCATGATGGCACAGCTCTTAATTCACAGCTTTTATTCTCACATTTTCTCACAGGGAATGGATTGTGCAACTGCGGCAACTGTGAGTGCTGGGACGGCTGGATGGGGAACGCTTGTGAGATCTGGGTGGGAGCGGAGTACTGAGGGGGGGGACACTGCTGTGAGGAGACAGGAGGCCTGGCTGCCCGGAGCGACCAGGAGCACCGCCCAGGAAAACCATTGGAGCAGGAAGAGGAACAAACTAAACATGGATGTAATTCTGCACATCATTAACATCCAATATCTGATTGTACTGGTTACAAAGGATCCTTATAAAACGGAGCATTGTAGGTGTAAAAGAAACATATTGCCATGTAATCTGTAATATGATTCCAAAACCGCCTAATGTATAATTGCTTTTTTAAATGTAGGAATGCAGCTACAGTACACGACAAATGTAATTATTAAAGTGACATTTTTGCAATATGTTAAAAACAATGGGTGCTAATGTAAGTCTGTACAGAGGGGGGTGTTGTTCCAAAATTGGACTGAAAGTTCACAGGAAAGCTCGAGGCAGGAGTTACTATTTGAGGTTTTTATTTATTTTTTAATAATAAAACATTAATGTGCCGCATGACACAACATTTTGCATGGAAAACAATGCGAAGACCTTAATCATACATGGTTACAAATTTGTTATAACATGACATAACTCCAATGGGCATACTTGCAATGGTATATTTTTTTTTGTTGAAAATAAATCATTTTAATAGTGCCTATTCTTCTCCAACGGGAAATCAAACCAAAGAACCTGCCATGACAGCCACACTGTACTGAAGGTACGTGATGGACACTCCTCACTCAACACACACTAGTGACAAGGTTAAAATCTAAGTGGAGGAAACCAAGAGAGGGCATACATAGTTCAGGTGTGGCATGCTGGATGTCCATGTCACTTCAAAGAAAAGCATCAGGGCATGAGAGCTGCATTGACACAAGTGCTCAGTCACCGCTTGAAAAGAAGACCGATAAGAAGTCACAAAGAAAATTTAATGTAAATTCTACTTTGGCCTTTTTCATGCTTAAACTAGCCAACCCTTCTGTTTTCTTTGCCCCCTCAAAAGATGACTGGTGCAATAATATACTGCACACTATATTGCATTAAGTATGTTACTGACATTACAGTACACCTTTATATAAATATTTTTATTCAATATGTTGTATATGTTGTATACAACAAACACAAACTGTATAGTGTAGACAAACTCGTTGCATATATGTATGTAAAATTAGCGGTACATACCAACAGTTCTCGATAGACATAGCCTACTACATGCAGTTCATCAATGCCATCCTCTCCCCATGCAACAGATGGGACAACACACAAAATAAGAGGTTTGATAACAGAGGCAACAAAGAAACCAAATTTGTTAGAATATTCTTGTAACACATCTGAAGAGAGGGGGAACAAAGCAAATATGAGCGCTATCAGGACACGACATCACGCACAACCCGTATACAAGAAAAAAATAAGGACTAAACAAAAAACGGTGGGCTACAGAGATCCAATCAGAGATGTACATTTACACACCGGTCATTTACAAAAATAAAGTCAGCCTTAGAGGAGCCAGTTATCTGGAGGGCAAGGCTGGAGCAGCAGCCAGCCCAGCATGTAGAGTGTGTAGTCGAGGATGATTGGCTGTAATGAGGACACAATATCATCCTCAAACACAACTACAGTGGTTTTTCAGCTCCTGTGTGTATACTATGTCATATTTGTTATTAACAGCTTTGTACAGACAATTATTGAATCCTAACTAATGTGCTTTGATGTGCTGTAATAACAAATGATCATGTGTAATCCCAATAAACTCCGAAAATGATATTCACCAAATCAATTTTTGTAATATGATGAGTTTTAGCAGCACACAGCAGCAACAATCTACTTCATATTCTAAATCGTGTCTAACAAAACCATTAGGAGAAATCAATAAAGCAAGACAAATGTTATAAATTGATCAGATAGAGCTTTGATAAACTGCTAACAGTCATGAAGAAAAATGCAAAACAGAAAATGGGTTACCTTCAGAGTAGCTGTGAGTGTGTGCTGTAGCCTTCAACATGCCCATTCAACTCTCACTGAACCTTAGTACTCTTCAGCTTACATAGAGGGAAGAATGAAACCCTTACCGTAATCCTTATATAAAATACATGCATGTGATTAATTCAAGGTATACGTATTTCTCTAAAATGACATCAGTCAAAGACCCCTGGGGGTCTGAGCGGAGTTGGTTTGTTCCGAACAAATGCTATCACAGTGAAAGCTTCAATTAATTGAATCAGATTTTCTCTTGTAAAGAATCAGTTTGTCTTGGGATGAAAAAAGACTTTGGTCATTTCATGATGAATACATCTGAGTGTGGTTTGTCGATGGGTAATGCTACGTGTCCTCTACGTGGATGTATTGGGTGTGTGAGGCACCTTTGGCCCAGTGGGGACTGGGAACCTGTTTTTGCATGCCGGGAATCAAAGTCCAAACAGGCACGTGATAGGCCAAGATGATACTGGACTCTGCATGCTGAGCTAGGAGACAAATCCTCTCGTAATAATAATAATTATAATAACAATATCTAGTCATTTAAAAAGTTATGATTTATAATAGTAATTTTCCCTAAGTTTTATACAGTGAAAATGTTACAATATAAGCCATCTCTTGGATAACTGCTGCTCGAAGAGAGAACACAATATTAACCTTGCCCATGCTTTAGTTTGAACCAAATAGGGATGCAGCCAGGATAAATGTCGCCTACTGGTTTTCAGCCATGTTGTTTTCTGGCTTTAGGTAGACGCTGCCATAAGATGGCTGCCAGTGCTGCAGTTATAGACCATCTGGGTCAAAGCCACAAGCCTTGCCTCTTAGTCCAAAGAAGTCAGTGAGTGAGGGACAGAGGCCTACAAGGCCTAGAGATATTCCTAGAGCCCACGCTCTGAAATAAGATTAAAGAAAAATAGACTTCAGGTTTCTACTTACCAGAGAAGGCGGACTGAACCGCTGGTGGGACTTAGATAGTGATATGTATACACCATTCCTTACAGAGCTCTCCCACCCACACACACATCTGTTTATAAATGCGTGTGTGTTGGAAGTTCTCGCATTGATTGGCGGTAATTAGCACTTCATCAGCTATGATTACAGGAGCTATCTGCCAGCCTCCAGCGTGTTTTTATCAGCCTTAAAAAGCAACATATTTTTTCCCAACACACTTTGTCTGTATGTATGTGTGCATGTTGGAGGCAAGACACAAATGTGGATTGTGTCTTTGTATATATGGATGTTTTTATGCCACATCTGTGTGAATGTGTTTCTTAGAAAATCACACAACTCCCTTGCAAAATGTTTTTATCTTTTCTAGGTTACTTGACAAAGAGAAAAGTGTGTGACTAGAGATAGAAAGAGAGGGAGAAGGGAACATACTGGTAAAAAATAGAGGACAACAGTCCTATTATTTACTCTATCTATACAGTCTCTATCCCAGAACATAGCTGGTGAACTGTGGTATAGAAAATAGATCTGAAGGTACACAGACTGCTGCAACAGGGCATTATAGGAGGGGATGGGGGGGGTTTCTTGAATGAACTGTCAGCAAGCAAAGTACCACTAGCGTGGGTGTGAAACACGCGTTATTCACATGAATTCTCACAGTTTCAGAGGAATCTAAAAGGCATTCCATATTCAGAGGTCCTCTTCCCTCCTGTGCTGGAGAAACTCAGCCGCCTCAGAATCCATGCGCCCGTGATGTGACGGCCGGAGAAAGGGAGGGCGAGGCGGAGAAGAAGGGAAGAGGGAGCAAGAGAAGAAAGGTTTGAATGGATCGGACCCACAGAAAAAAGAGGGTTTGGAGTCTAGTCGGGAAAAGCCCTGCCTCCGTCAAGTCTCCCCCCCTCACACTGAGTCAGGTGTGGCTATGTGGGGGGCTTGTCGGGCTTGCTTACAGGTTTACCTCCGTTCATCACTGCCGGCTCAGTTGTGCTTTTACTGGGAGGAACTGCTGTCTTGGGCACTGTCTCTCCAACATCATGCAACGATGGCTCTCTGTACATGGCAACTGGAGGAGCAGAGGAAAAGGAAAGAAGGCAAAGAGACAAGAGAAAATATGTTAACACCAACTTCTCTGGAGTTTACCTGTCTAAAACTGTTTACTGGGCATCTATCCCCTAACAATACTTTTTGAAAGGTTACTAAACAGACAGAAATTCCTCAAAACCTTAAAAAAAAGTCTCCAATTATAGATGCTGACATATTTTTTGCCTTTGGTCATTATTTCACCATCCTGACCTGCTTCTGTCTCTATCAGTGCTGATTCTGAATCTAAGCACATGCTTTTCCAATTAAAAAGAAATGCTTCTCATTATCCTCCACTTTACTGCCACTACACTACAGCTGTCTTGACAGGACACTTCAATTTGATTCCATGGTAAAGTAATGGGAAGCAATCAGCTGACAAGAGTGATGCATCTGCTGGACCATCAACATTTCATAGTGAGCTGCCCGGCTGACAGCAGCAAAACTGAGGATCAGCACAATGCCAAAATATCTCAATCATACAGTAGATATTTCCCGATGTTGTACCAGATTTATAGTCTAAGACATCCATCATGTTATGTGACAAAGGTAATCATGCTCGTTATTTTCACCCAAATACATCGATATGTATTAATGTCTCCAGCTAAAGGTTATGTTTCTTACTGAAATGACACACTGTTGTTTACACTGACAATGTGTTTGCTATGTGAAAGCTGATAAACCCCTTCTGGTACTAATAAGGCAAAATGAGGAAGAAGTGTGTCCTATTGAGTATCTACGAGTATGTAAAAACTAAACTGAAATCTGTAAATTAATGTTTTATTACTGCTATCACCATATTTTTTTTGTTATCTGACTTCTTCCTTTTTCAAACGGCCTGAACCGTCAGCTATGCTTTTGTTTTCCTTAAATATGACAAATCAATCTCAGAGTTTTGTTCGGGAAGGTTTTCACCCACCTAGCACAGCTACACATGACCCTTTGACGGATAAATCTGGTGATATTCTGTCTTTTTTTCCTAATGTCAACAAAACTCATTAAGAAGTGGAAACTAATAATGTGTTTGCTCATCTCTTAATGTGCCCCTAGTTTATTGGTTCCTAATGAAGATCATTAAAGGATATTTAATTTGTTGTTTATTTAAAGGCTCAGTAATTTCATATCACAGCTGGGCACTTTAGGTTTTAGTAAATGATACACAAACATGAGGAAATAGCGTAGTAAAAGGGGACTAACTTTCCCTGGATTAGTACAAATGTGGTGCTCTAGTGAGCATTTGCAGCAGCAGAGTGGTGTACTGCCAACTACAGTGCATGAAATGTGTTGATGAAAATAAAAATATAACATATCAAAGTATTCATGCATACTGAAAATAGAATACCTTAACATTGTAATATAATTTTGTTCTAAAACAAAAGATTAGCTCTTAAGATTAGGTATGACTACCTCATCAGAAACATTTTCCAACTAATCCTAACGATGCAGTTTTAATGTTGCTATCCAGTTGTAATCACAGTACATACCTTCTAATGGCTTGGGCAGGAAGTGAGCAGCTGGTTTGGTTTTTTTCACCCGATTCCCCTTCATGGCTTGGCCGTCTTTATTGAGCCCTAGGAACCAAGCTCTCCCCGACTCCTGTTGTCTGTACAACATGGACGAGTAGATCACATAGTAGTTCTCAAACACCGACTCTTTGAACTTGCACTCCGCTGTAAAGAGTTCCTGCAGAGACAGACACAAGCACCAGACGGATTATAATAGGCTCTTTCACACCCAGGCAATACATGGAGGATTTCATTTGAAAATAACATGTGGTAGCCATTCCTGTGGACTCACATTAAAAATGCAAGGTTCACATTATGCAAGAATAAAACAGATTCATAATTCATAGTTGAACTTTTATGGAGGTCACCAGGACAAATGCCACCCTTAAGCATGCTCCTTTGCAGGTGAAATGGACTTTATACCTTTACCTGTCATTAAAAGGATTAACGCTGCAGAGTTTATATCGCTATAATCATGTCTCAAGCCAAGCCTAATGACCTGTTCTGGTGAAATGCAACTCCCATTCTCCTCTTGGCCATAACCTTGACATCAGATGTGGGATCACTCGTTTAGTCAATTAACTCATGTTCCAGTCGGAAAATATATATCGTTAGGCATGACCCCAGCACCTCAGCACGGGTAATATCAGCTCTGTTTCCCCCCCCCCCACATGTCTGCCGGAAGACTCCTTATTTAAAAAAAATGTAATTGGTAAAACACAAATGAGATCCTTCTACAAATCTGCCTATGACTAACTTCTGAACTTTGTAAAAATAATGATGGAACTAATCAAGTGAATCCCCCATTACACCTCAATCTGGCGGCGACAATTGATCACTGAGGCTTCACATCTCTCTCTGCTGTTGCCCATTCATCTCCAAAGCAGAAGGGTAATAAAAAGCATTTCCACATTGTCTGCCCTGCCAGGCTAAAAATAAAGGCATTCATCGAGGTGTATTAATTAAAGCCTACTCATCACAATGGAGAGTTCACCACATCTGTTGTGAGCAGTTCACACTGAGCTGGCTCACAGAACTACTGACAGTACGAGTGAAAATCCTCTGATGCATCCCGCAAGTGGTGGGCTGTCAAGGTTTGAAGCCTTAATGAAGATTATGGACCGACACAAAATAAGGAATACTTTAATATATTCAGCGGAAATAATCAACATACAGTATGGATTGTTTGAGATGCTTTTGTTGTATCTGGTGTCATCTTCCAACCTTAGTTATTCTGTTAAAGTAGAATATACATATACAACCATAGCGTACAGGGTCCCTAACGAAGAAGATCTAAAATAAGGAACCTTATGGAAAGTCTTTCTATTTGTTCCTATTTGTTTCAGCTGTGTTTCATTCCTATTGGTTAATGTGGATGGAAATTTAGCTAAAAATATGGTTCTAGTCTGTGTCAATGTCTCAAAACTGATTTCTCTAAACTGACAATGACTATACAGCCACACTAGCGGCTTTGTGAGGCTGCACAAGCACAGTATAGTCACTGAGATGTATCCTCCTGGCACCATGAATTGGGCACCTGTATTTAATTTCATGGTAATAAATAAAAATGTTGAGAAATTACCATCCAAACCGAAGAAGTGGACAGGCTGAACAACATGGCCGTCCGTTGAGAAGAGTCTACATCTCCTGTACTGTAGCTTAACAAGATGTTATTTATGTGCCAAATACTCAGTGTTGAACACAGGATACACCATGGCATGATTATGGTGTAATTAGCCCTTTGGTGAATTATTCTAGTCAGACCTCATCCTCCAGACAGTATTTAGCTGAAAGCAGAGCTGAGCAGGAAGGAGCGGAGAAACACTTGGGAATGGGATGAACCGTAATGAAGCCGTAAAGCCCCCAACTGTATTTAAAGTGCCCTCTCTATCCTTGATTGAAGACTCAAGGGCATTTTTTAGTAGAAGGTACAAACGCCTGATGCATAACAACAGCTAGGTTTTCACTCACATTGCAATTTCAGTGAGAAACAGTGAAAATAGGCCCTGAGAGGCCAGAGTGGAGGTCTGTTGTATGTGAGCTGTGTGTTGGGTAAATCCCACATCCTGAATTTGGTGTGTCTCGCCAGCAATTACATTAATACATCCTATTCTACTGGCAAATGTAAGGATTAGGATCAGATATTAATACTGCTTCCGTCGCAGGCCACAACAGCTGAGCGGAGATGCAGCAGACTGAGGCAATGAAAGCAGAGCCTTAAATGATAAAACCCTGAGCATGAGTCTGCATGGCATGCTTAATATCAGATAAATAAACATTTCCTCTGGAGTATGCACAGGTTCTGTCCTCATCGTTATTCATTGTATTGCTCACATTAAGATGTATTGTGTGTCATCGGCAAGCAGGAGCTTATCAGAAGGCTACTTATAATGGTAAAGGTGTCTTAAAGGGAGGTCTGTGTCCTGTGTGGATAGAGGACATCATATTATATTTGTACTGTACACAGAACATACATCTTGATATTGTAAAATGGGTGATTTCAAAGCAAACAACACCGAACAAATGTCCTAATTACACTGATTTATTTGTTAAACGTAACAACCGTTTTTTCTCTGAAAGGATGTTCAAACATGCTGAAGCAAACTCTGTTGCAGAGCCGATTAGAAGGCAAACAGTTCTACCTTCATGGTTCCCTGAGTTGCCTCAATAAGGTAATTAATTATACTTTTTCCTCGCCAGGTGAGCGCCATCGCAGGTTGGTTGGCTGCTGTAATTAGACACAACATTTCTATGCCGGTCCAGGAACGGCCCAGCGCTGATTACTTACACGGCACACACAAAACAGCCTCGAGTCAAACTAATCATACAAGCTGGTGGCAAGGCCGTAATTGTGGCTAATCAAACGCCTTCGCATAAATGCACAAAAAATGTCTCTTTGTTTACGGAGGCAGAGCAAGTGGAGGTGGTTTGTTTGTGGAAGCATGCTCAATGTCAGTCACCATAATCAGCTTGATTTGAAGATCAGAGCAGTGAAGGCAGCTGAATTCAGACACATTGTTTGTTGATTGCATTTTAAGTGTGTCAAAAATGTCAATGACAAGCTGAATGCTTTTTATCATGTTCCTCCTTTATGTGTCTAAACAAGATTATTCTTTCCTTCTGTCATTGTTTTTCTTTTGAGATTAAAAGGCGTCACTTGTATGTCAAAAATGGTTGGATGTGTAAATAAGCAATTAGTAAAAGGTTTGACATACAGTAACAACCTAGTAGGTTGATGTCAATATCAACTTGGCATCCTTGTTGTGTTCCTAATTACAAATAAAAAGGTAGTTTTTGCCATAGAGTTCTACCCAAGTTATAATAATATTTTGGGAAAAATATAGATGAAATCATGGCAAAAGGAGAGTGAGGCTCGGACACAGTGCACGCTTTCACACCAGAGGCAAATCTAATAACTTTCGAGGCACCAAACGGTTGATTTTCTTCCCCCTCGGTCTCCCGCCCGGCGCTCCCCATCAGTGGCTCTCTGCTCGGGAAGCGAAGGCCATAATTGACCTTGGCCACAGACAGCGTGAGGGGCAAAACTGCTCAGCCCCACATAATCAGCCCCAGTCAAAAAGGCAAAAAGACAAAGACAGAGACAAAAAGGAAAAGATGAACAATCACGTAAAAGCACGGCAAAGGAAAAATAGATTAACTAATGTGGTTGAGAAGAAGGGGCAGGAATACAGTTTCCACTGAAAAATAACACATGAAAAAGAGGCAAATGGATGAGACAGATGGAGGGAGTGGGAGTTTGAAATAAAAAGAGTGAATAGGCTTTTAAAGACAAGCGAGCAAAGGAAGTCAATCTGAAACAAACGTAATTTTGGAAAGAACCACAAAACGAATTGTGATTTCATAGCGTAATCTAAAAGGAGGTGAGAGCAAACAAATCTGGGGAGGGGGACGCACATTACCATGCAGAGTGACGGCTCACTATCCTACTGTGGAAACCAATAAATTGTTTATTAATGCTGCAGGCATAAAACCTATTAATCCATGGAAAAAGGTCAACCTCCAGAAAGCTGAGCTGCATTCACAATGCTAAGCCGCTCTCATATGTATCAGAGTCACGTCGGCAGTGTGTGCAAACAATGGGGGCTTCAGAGGAGCTGTCTGATTATCAGCCCAGAGGAGGAAGAGGAGACAGCGAGTAGAAGAAGAGTCATGGGGACACAGCTGGATGGATGTGTACACAGACGGCGTACAGTTTCCCTTTTTTATTTGTATATTTCCTGCCCTGAGTGATCTGTATATGACATGACTTGTGTGTGTGATGATAGGACAACTAAATTATATTAAAAATGTCTTGCATACAAATTGCTACATGACAATAAGTCTTTGGTCTTTGAATACTTGCAACCAGTTCCTTAAATGTGTATAAACCCAAAAAAATCAAACGCTGTGATTATATGATTAAAACCAAGATTTGGATGAATATTTTGAGTATGATCGAACAAAAAGGACAGACAGACAGACAGTATCTGGCTGAGCTTTTAAGTCACAGAGACAAATACAAACTTCCAGATAAACTGTTGCTATTGCAGGACAGACAGTTTGATTTGCCTCTGGTGTGGTATTACATTAAAACTGATAATAATAATTATTAGAGTATATTAAAGTATTAAAAGCCAACATATTTTCTTTTTTAATATTGCATGACCTTGCAATGTATTCAACTTTTGAACCACATTCCTTTAAATGTATTTTGCATACTACTTTAACGAATAATGAAATTATACGTCTCTGTCTACAGATAATGAAAAAGCGTAATCTCTTCTGCCATAAAACAGTAAGCCAACACACTTCACTCTTCAGCCAAATGTACTCTATGAAATACAGTATAGCTTCATTTGTATTCCTATCAGACTAATTTTGCACAGTCACCTTAAGAAGCTGCAATAATTCCCTTTTAACCCAAGGGTGCACAAATAGACAAAAAGGACTAACACCTTTAAGGTATTTGGACACCAGAAGCACTTAAGTGCTCAATAAAGTTTCCCAGGAGGTAGAGACTCTAATGCAGTACATCTCCCCTGGCACACACAAACACACACACACAAACACACACACACAAACACACACACACACACACACACACACACACACACACACACACATACATACACACACACATACACACACACAGTCGACACTTAGAAATGCTACACAAAA